AAGAGAGTCGCACCACCCAAAGTGGGATGGATGCCATCTCTACTAATCAGACCAGGTTTTCCCCAAAATGTTTTCCAGTTGTCTATGAAGCCCACGTTATTTTCTAGTTAAATGGAGATAATGTTTGGGGTATCTTGGTGGTTTTAAGACTGGTTTTCTATTAAGTCTTTGAAAGTGTAGCTATTATAAACTTGTTCATAAACGTATCAATATACATTTGTGTATTAATATCAGATAAGTTATATGTGGGTCACTTTCTCCATCAGTTTTCTGTGGGCCTTACACAGGCAACAACACGGGATTGGTGCTCACTAACCGTGTGAAAGTCTAACAGTCTTAAGTGTACGGATGGAGAAACTCAATATATAGAGATGGATTGATGAGGCACCAAAGTTTTCCAGCAAAAAAATGGCTTCAAGTGACTTTGAATTCAATCAAGTGGCCAAAAGTTACCACAGGACGTTATGAACAATGAATGTATTTTGTAAAGCTGTCACTGATTGTGCACCCATGGGAAGGAAGAAATGGTTAATTTTAAAGGTGAGGGGCAGGTCCACTGGTTCTTGTTCAGTCCAGTATGTAGGAACATTGTGAAAAGTCAGTGACATTTCTGTCAGCAACCCCACCATAAATATACACACACATTCTTTTGATACCACCAAAGGCTCAGACTGTGAGTAAGACAAGCATCATTTTTATGACTCGTCCATTTGAAATATAGTCAGACTAAAGGTTAAGTATAATTTATTGTAATTCTGAAGTTGTACAATTCTTTTTGTGTACAAAGTAGAGCACTAGTGATATATGATAATGACAAAAGCAATGGATAGCTTTTTATCAGAGAAGAATAAAAGAATAAAGAAAAGGTTAAACATAATCTACAGTATATATTCTACCTATGAATATATACCTATGCATCATTTGTGATTGTCATCACAATTTTCTCCAAAATGTGGGATGTTTAAAGGCTTCCTTATTTTTCTTTATCCTTTTTAGTTTAATTCTGAGTAAAACTAATTATGGTTTGTGTATATGAAATTTCCCCATTAAACATAAAAGCTATCTAAGTTTTACTAAAGTCATTTGTAGAAACAAGACCATTTCTTCTTTTATATCAAGCCAGAACTGAGTTTCAATATCGCTCTTCAGTAAAGCAATAGATGATGTCGCGGTGGGTTTGTCCAGTTTTTCTAGTCAATAATCAGATGTTTCTTCCAATAAGGAGAGTTTTTTCTCCCCACTGTCACCACGTGATGCTCAAGGGGAGTTTATTGGGTTTTTCTCAATAATAATAATAACAAGGCCTAGACTTTACTGTGTAAAGTGTCCTGAGATGATTTTTGCTGTGATTTGGTGCTATACAAATAAAATTGTATTGAAAATTGATATAGTGATATCACACATTTGATACAAGCCTCGACACAAAGGTTCACTTTAGTGCTTGACAGTGTTCAGCCTGGCATCGCTAGTACTGGATGAAGAAATGGAAAAATGTGACCTGCATATCTGCTGTGGTTTATATGTTCCACCCAAGTCTCAGCACCATCCTCAGTCAGGAAAGCTGCATATGATCAAAAAATGACTTCTAACTAATATACATGTTTTTACACCTTTCACCTTCAGTGAGCGATTCAGTCACACAAAGTGCAGCCATATCAGGCTGTTTCTGTTTTCAATAAAAGGTCAGTGTTCACAAGTAAAGCCACTAAATTGTTCATAGTGTTTGTGTAACTGTGTAATCTGTCTACAGACTGACTACTGGATGCACAGTATCAGCAGCATGTCTTCCTTTCCTGAACTTGTTATCCAGGCCTTTGACTTCACATAAAGTTCCAGTCTAGCTCTGGTTGTAAACCCTGACAGGGACGCAGTCGCCTACTAGCGAGGCGACCAGTCAACCCGCCTCCAGGCAGCGGCTCAGTCAATCACAGGACAGGGACCACACAGCTTCATTTGCATGGGGCCTGTATAAGAGGAGTAGTTCGCAACAGTCTCGTAGCGTTTATTGCTGAAAACTAGAAGCTTAAATAATGCCTGAGCCAGCGAAGTCTGCCCCAAAGAAGGGCTCTAAGAAGGCTGTCACCAAAGCTGCCGCTAAGGGCGGCAAGAAGAAGAGAAGGAGCAGGAAGGAAAGCTACGCAATCTACGTGTACAAAGTACTGAAACAGGTCCATCCCGATACCGGAATCTCATCTAAGGCTATGAGCATCATGAATTCTTTCGTCAACGACATCTTTGAACGCATTGCTGGGGAAGCTTCCCGCCTGGCGCACTACAACAAGCGCTCCACTATCACTTCCAGGGAGATCCAGACTGCTGTGCGCCTTTTGCTGCCTGGTGAGCTGGCCAAACACGCTGTGTCTGAGGGCACCAAGGCTGTGACCAAATACACCAGCTCCAAGTAAACGGCTAAGCTGTTTACATCAAACCAACGGCTCTTTTAAGAGCCAAGCACCTCTTCTGAAGAGCAAGTTACTCAAACTGAGTCTTATATGTAACCTCATGTATGGATTACTAAGTGTTATATGGTAGATGTACATGGAAACAAGATTTATTACTGCCTGTTCTAGTTTTTTTTCTTTTCTTCCCCCAGTTTGTTTAGCTATATGCTGAATAATGTATTGAAGGCTCAAAATTCTAGTGTGGAATTTTATATAGATGGTACCAGCTCCCAGTAATTGACCAGAGTTCAATGTTAAGATTATTTCTCTGGTAAAATTTTGAGGTGTACAAACTAGTGATGGGAAGTTCGGCTCTTTTCTCAGATTCGGCTCTTTTGGCTCGGCTCTGTTAAAAGAGCCGGCTCTTGTGGCTCCCAAGCGACTCTTAATTTATTATCACTCTGCGCCTTATATTTCAGCCTAATTTAGCAATTATAAATGGTTTGCGTGTTTCTAAGCATTTGTTTATTCGGTGTTTTCATAAAAGCCTTATTTTTATCCAGTTTTCTATTTCAAAAAATAGACAGTCACTACTGTTTAACATTTTAATCATTATCAGTAACACAGCACACCACTTTGTCATCTACTTGCCACTCTTTAGCCACTCCTACTAGCTCCTCTGCCAGGTTTTCTGCTGTGTCTCTCCGAAAACTCAAAACAGTCAAGAAGGCAGGATGTCACCTTAAAGTTTTCAATAAAGTGA